GGTTTCTAATACATGCTAATGAGATCCTTTCGGGGAGGGAATCAGGCTCCGAAAAAAGCAGGATTTAGAAATCCAGAATCTTAATATGTCTTCAGGTCTGGGTAGTAATCAGCAGAAAGTTTCTGGGTGATGAATGAGTGAGTGACATTTCCAGCTCCATCTGTTGCCTGCGGAGCGGCGCCTCACGACGCGTTTCCACGGCTGAGGGGATGGATGATTCATTTTGGTTCCCATTCATGGGGCGGGAAATGTTCCGGGAGCGGGGAATGACTCCAGCCCTCGCTGGAGCGCGGCGTGCGCGGAGCTCGTAGGAAACCTCAGCTGCTGTTTGTGCTCCCACGAAGGATCCGGGCTGTCTTTGAGGTCACCCACGCTATCCAAGAATTCCCGGGGACGGACCTGCCTCTGTGGGATGGCTCCGGTGCCGCTGCAGCCTGGTTTTCCTTACGGGCCAGCGCTCTGTGTCCGGAGTGAGGAATCGCCTCTGGGGGCAAATCCTGCTCCCACTTCTCCGGCTCGTTGTCCTTTGGATTGTCTGGGCTGTGATGCTTAAGCTTGTCGAGTAATTCCAGCCCCAAACGCCCTCCCTGGGATCTGCTCCTGGAGAATGGGATAGTAAAGGTAAGGATTCAGCAGAGCAGAGGAAACTGTTTCTCCCTGCTGTCCCACCCGGACCTGGGTGATCTGGAAGGTCCTTTCCAACCCCAAAGCGTTCCCGGATTCTGGACTGGTCCCTCCCTTTGCCCTGGCACGGATCCAGGGAGGAGCACAGCAGGGCTGTGCCTTCATCCTGCCCCACGGGATGCTCGGGATGTGCCCCAGGGAATATTGGTGTCCTGGGGGCTGCTCCCACCTCCTGCTCCTGGGCCGGTCTGGGGGCTCCTCTCGTCCAGTCCTGCCTAGGGAATGAGCTGAATATCGGTGGGAATGTGGGGTTTTCCCTCTCCCCTGTTCATTTCTCCGTATATTTGGGGCATCTCCCACCCTGTGGATAAAACCAACTCGGCGGCTTCGTTCCGCTTTCCACACAAAATCCCTGCTTTTCTCCTGGCACTGCAGGCGGATCCTGCAGTAGCTCGGTGCTATTTATAGCTCTGATCTCACTGTCTCTCAGTGTTTCGGGGAGTTTGGGCATTTTGGGAAGTGGGAGCCCCTCTGGAAAAGGATCCCAGGGCTGCCCGGCCGCCCTTCCGGATGGCAGTGCCTCCCACTGCCGGGGGGATCGGTCTCATTCCCAAAAACTTAGTGCCACTCCACTGGCACAGATCCTCCTTCCGGAATAAACCACCTCAGACGCTCCCTTGGAGCGAGCAGGAGCTGCTTGCCTCCTTCTCCAGGCTGATTCCAGGGAAAATGAAGGTGATGGGTTATAGGAACGGTGTTCCATGGCTTCGAATTCCGTGCTCCCAAAGCCATTCCTGCTGGCAGCAACTCGCCGTTTAAAGGCTCTTCAAAATGCAGGGAATTTTTTTTTTTAAAAACCCCGAGCTGTCGCTGGTTTTGCAGCAGGTCTGGGGAGGTTGGTGGGATCTCTCCCTGTTCCCAAGGGAATTGCTGAGGAAAGAGGAGCTGGGAAGGAGCTGTGCGTGTCCAGCGGGACTCGCTCTGTGCCGGAGGGAGGGAGGGAGGGCTCAGGGAAAGCGTTTCCTGCTCTTTCCCTTTGAAGGTGGTGTTGGGTTTGAAATGGGAGAGGCAGCTTTCTGTGCTGCTTAAATTTAAATTAAAATAAAATAAATAAATAAATAAAAATGGACAGAAGGAAAAAAAAATTTTGGCAACAGATTTCTGATTTTAAAACATCCAGGTTGATGTTTAGTGAAGGTGTCCTTGCCTATGGGAGGGGGGTTGGAATGAGATGGTCCTTGAGGTCCCTTCCAAACCAAACCACTCTCTGAATGTTTTTAAAATTTTAAAATAATTTTTAAATAATTTTTAAATAATTTAAAAAGGTTTTTAAAGTTAGGCTCAAGTTAAAGTAAAAAAGTTTGGAATTTAAATGTTCAGGTGAAGTAGCCCGTGTCTGGCTCATGCTGAATTTTTGGTTTCACTTTTTGGTTACATTTTGGTGTGTTTGGACGAGGCTGGTGGAAGATGTCCCTGCCCATGGCAGGGGGTGGGATGGGATGGGCTTTAAGGTCCTTCCCACCCAAACCATTCCAGGATTCTGTGATTAAACCCTTTTTGTCGGATGTGCACCTCGCTGACAGGTTTGAGATGATCAGTTTATTCCCATTTCACTGTATTTGGGGGTTTTTCCACTCGGTGTGTGTCAAATTTCCCATTTCCATCAGCAATCGATGGGGCCTGAAGTGTTTTAGGTCTTAATTAATGTACAGCCTTTGATGTGGGGCCATGTTTTATTTATCTGGGGAGGGAAACATCAGCAGAGCGTTTCGAACTTGGTGTAAAAACCATCGTGACGTGACAGTGGAATCAAAGTAATGGGGGGGGGAATCCTTATATGCCAGGGGTGGCAAAAAAATAAACCTGAAATTCCTTCTGTTCCTACAGGGAAGGAAAAGGCAGGGAGAGCCCATGAGATAGTTTATTATTCATAATCATGATGTGGTCTCCCAATCCACGGGGTTGGCATTTCTCGTCCCATGAATATGATCTTTGTGCCTTTGCTCACGTCATGACTCCCATTGTCTCAGCGTGTTCCCAAGGCAGGAGCTACAAAGGCAATTTTTGAGCCTTCCATGAAATATTCCTTAGCACACAGGCCTGTTTTTGTCCTGGGGATGTGTCCGTGGGGCAGGGGGGGTTGGGTTGTGGCAGGAGGCTGAGCCCCTGGCAGTGCAGACAGGGGCTTGCTCTGAGCCTGCAGCAGGAAAAAGTCGGGAATGACGCAGCTCTGCCCAGGCTCTCAATGGGAATTGTGGTCACCGTCCCTGCAGCTGCCCCCTGTGCCCCTGCTCTGGGGGAATGAGTCCCTTTGGATGGGGAATGAGTCCCTTTGGATGGGGAAGGGGGGGTTTGGTGAGTTTTCTCAGGACATGTGGAGCAGTTGAGGCTCTTTTTCGGGAATAAAGCAGGAGGAATGGATCCCGAGGCACTAAGGGGGTTCCTTCTGCTGGATGTTGGATTTGGGTTTAGGTGCTTAGGGGAGCTGGGGCGTTTCACCTGGAGAAGAGAAGGCTCCAGGGAGACCTGAGAGCCCCTTGCAGGGCCTGAAGGGGCTCCAGGAGAGCTGGAGAGGGACTGGGGACAAGGCATGGAGGGACAGGACACAGGGAATGGCTTCCCACTGCCAGAGGGCAGGGACAGATGGGATGTTGGGAAGGAGTTCTTGGCTGTGAGGGGCTGGAATGGAATTCCCAGAGAAGCTGTGGCTGCCCCTGCAAATCATTCCCAGAATGGGTTGGGTTGGGAGGGACCTTAAAGCTCGTCCCATCCCACCCTCTGCCATGGTCAGGGACACCTTCCACCAGCCCAGGTTGCTCCAAGCCCCGTCCAACCTGGCCTTGGACACTTCCAGGGATCCAGGGGCAGCCACAGCTGCTCTAGGAATTCCATTCCAGCCCCTCACCATCCTCACAGATAGGAGTTCCTTCCCAATATCCCATCACTCCCTGCCCTCTGGCAGTGGGAGGCCATTCCCTGTGCACTGTCCCTCCATCCCTTGTCCCAAGTCCCTCTCCAGCTCTCCTGGAGTCCCTTCAGACCCTGGAAGGGGCTCCAGGGTCTCCCCAGAGACCTCAAACACGCTGATTAGGTGAGTTTGAGTGCTTCTCTCCAGGTGCTCTCCCCAGAATCCCTGTGGTTCCGTGAGTCGTGGAAGGGCTCCCAGCTCTGGCCCTGCGGGGGAGAAAGGGGAGCAGGGAAAATGCCACAGGAAGGAAAACAATAGGGAAGTGGAAGGGAGAGCTTGTGGGTTGAAAAATAGCAACAGTTCCAGTAATGTGACCTTTTGCAGAAAATGTTTCCATCAAAAAAAGAAAGTCTCCTCCTCCTCCTCCTGCCTGGCACAAACTGGGAGCAGGGAGAGGAGGGAACACTCAGCTCTGGCACACGGGCTGTGCTCCTGGAGCCCTCTTCCAGGGTAGCGTGTGGGAAAAACCCTGTTAAAACTCTTTCCCTGGGATCGATAGGACTGGTGTCCTGACAGAGGGGATGACAAAACCCCACCTTTAACTTGCAGCTTTGTTGGAGCTCGGTGTGTCTGAGGGATGAGCCGCTGTTCTCCTGCAGCTGCTGTTCATTCAGAGCCCTCAGCAGAGCCACTGAGGGATTGCCCCGGGGAGGGAAGCGGGAAATGTGGCAAATAGGAACCCTGGGAAATGCAGGACTGTCACCTGGGGGGGAATTCAGAAAGTTTGTAGTCGTTCATGGCATAACAGCGATATTTCTTTCAAACAGAAACGAGCTGAGTTCAGTTACTACAAAGGTGGTTTTCTGAGGTGTCTGTCGCTGCCCTTTTTTACAACGAGCCCCTTTCATCCTTCCCCTCGGCTTTGGGGAGACTCCCCTGCAGTGCTGCCTCCAGGAAGGACATGGAGCTGCTGGAGCAAGTCCAGAGGAGGCCCTGAAGAAGCTCCAAGGGCTGTTGGTGTTTGAGGTGCCCCCCAACCCAAGCCTGTCTGGGGTTTATGACACGGCACACAGGGCTTTTCTGCAGAATTTTCTTGAAGTGAGAGCCTCGTGTTCCATCCCCTCATCCCCCATCAGTCAGGATGAATCCTCTCTGTGAAGTCTTAGATGAACCCCAATCCTCCCTATTTCAAGAGATGCTGGGTGAGTGGAAGGGAGGGACGTGTTTTGGAGGCACAGGTGGTGTCAGGAAGGGTCACACACGCGTTGACACCCTTTGCTTTTAGCAGACACGTGTCCATAGGAGGTGGTGGCTGGAGGAAAAGCCCCTGATCCCTACATTCCTGGAGTGCTTCGTTGCCAGAGTTTAATGGTGCTGCTCTCGAGTCAGTCTGAGGTTCTGGACATGGCATGGGCATCAGATCCCTGTGGGAACGGGGCCCTCACTCACCTCTGCTCTCGTGTTGCAGTTGATGTGACCACAGCGCTGCCCTTGCAAGTTGCCCCGACGTCAGTGCCGATGGACCTGCGCCTGGACCACCAGTTTTCCATGCCGGTGACGGAGCCGACGCTGCGGGAGCAGCAGCTGCAGCAGGAGCTGCTGGCCCTGAAGCAGAAGCAGCAGATCCAGAGGCAGATCCTGATCGCGGAGTTCCAGCGGCAGCACGAGCAGCTCTCCCGCCAGCACGAGGCACAGCTGCACGAGCACATCAAGGTAAGTGGGGGGCACCTGCCTTGGGATCAGGGAATCAGGAGGGCTGGAAAACAGCTCCAAGGTCATCCAGTCCAACCGTTCCCCCAGCGCTGCCGGCCCCGGCACTGAACCCTCTCCCCACGTGCCACATCCACACGAGTTTGGAACACCTCCAGGGATGGGGGCTCCACCACTGCCCTGGGCAGCTGTGCCAGGGCCTGGCCACCCTGTCAGTGGAGGAATTTCCCCTGATACCCAATTTAACCCCCCCTGGTGCAACTGGAAGCTGCTTCCCCTCCTCCTGTCCCTGTTCCCTGAGAGCAGAGCCCGACCCCCCCCGGCTCCCCCCTCCTGTCAGGGATTGCAGAGCCAGAAGGTCCCCCCTGAGCCTCCTTTTCTCCAGGCTGAGCCCCCCCAGCTCCCTCAGCCCCTCCTGCTGCTCCAGCTCCATTCCCTTCCCTGCACACCAAAGATGCACCAACCGGGAAGTTCCAGTGGAATTCAACCCACCAGGAGGTTCCCTGTTCCTGCTGTCACATATTTGGCACAGAGTGCCATAAAGAGACACTGATCTCTGTGGGGACAGTGACAGGAACGGCCTGAAATCGTGTGAGGGGAGGTTTTGGTGGATCTCAGGACAAGGTTCTTCCCCCAGAGAGTGGTTGGCACTGAACAGGCTCCCCAGGGCAGTGGGCACAGCCCCAAGGCTGCCAGAGCTCCAGGAGGGTCTGGACAACGCTCTCAGGGACGGGGTGGGATCGTTGGGGTGTCCTGGGCAGGGCCAGGAGTTGGACTGGATGGTCCCTGTGGGTCCCTTCCCACTGTGGATTCTCCATGATTCTCTAAACTGCCCTGTGGACGTTTGCCATCAGCACAAGGTGCAGCCCCCATGCCTGGCCCTCTTTCCCTGCAGGAGCAGGGAATGCAGGTAGCTCTGCACACTCCCAGGTGTTTCAGAATTAGGCTTTGCCCTGCATGGGACAGGGAGGGAAGAGGCCCAGGATCAGCTGGAAGTCCAGTTGGGAAGATGGCTGTTGCACAGTGCAAACATTAGACATTATATAAATATTTCCCAGTGCTGGCCCATTGCTATGGCAACGGGAGCTTTTGGAATTGCTAATAGGCTCCTCCTGCAAAGGGGGATTAGTGCTGCACGTGGTAAATAGCCTTAATGTAATATTAAAAAGCAGCCTCGATTCAACCTTATATAACTTGCATTTTAATACAGAATGCATGTCAGAGCGGGGAAGGTGGGATTAAAAGTTAATGGGGTGTTATTTACAGACTTTTCAGGGCAGAGGGTTTGGGTTTGTAAGAACTGCTCCTGTCTGAGGTTTGATTAAGAGCAAACCCTGTCCTTAGTGGGTTCCTGCCAGGGCAGAGGTGCTTGGGTGTAAATGCATTTGTAGATGCACTCCCAGAGGCACAGTGTGTGTATCTCTGGGTGTACACATACATGTCACACATAATAACGCATTATAATAGAATAAGAGTAGAATTATTCTGTATCCACACCTTTTTCTCTGTGTACATTTGCCCATGCACCTTTCCTGCATTTGTGGATCACGTGGTGCGCTCGAGGGGGAAGGATTAGGGAACTTCTGTGAGAAATATTTCCATTATTTCCTTGCAGTTCCGTGGGCCTTTTAGTTATTTGTCTGTTAAAAATAAGAAAGGCTCGTTCCCAGTTCCTGGAGAAGCTCAAAGCACTGGTGATGGGAACAGGTTTGCTCTCATTTCTGTGAAGGCTTTGATTCAGGTCAAAGGAAGGACCCGAGGTGTGCTTTTGAGGAGCCACGTTTTGATCCCAGACCATGAGGTAATGAATTTCTTCCTCTCATGTGGAAGCTTGGCTGGATGAGAAGCTTAAAACAGGGATGATTTAAGCCTGGACTGAAGGATGGCCTGCAGAATGATCTCTGGTGGTTTGGTGTGACTGGAATTGCTTGAAAAATCAAACAGCACCTTCTTGAAATGAACCCTGTGACACCTCACAGAGAAAAGAACCCCCAAACCCGGCACCAAGAGTTCTTGTGGTGCTTTTGCCTTGGGAAAACGTCCCTCTTGCCTTTGCATCCCTGAGTCAGCCCACATTTAGATGACTTCTGGATCTTAGAAACTGGCAGCTGTGTTCATTCCAGTGGCTGTGGGTGCAGGGAAGGGATGATTTTATCCAGAGAACTACGATATGTGACTTTATATTTGGACTTTGAACTGTCTAGCTCCTCAGGAAGAAAGCAGGGGGGGATATTAAAGCAAACAAACCCCGTTTTATCCTCTGTAAGTGAAGCTCTGGGGCTTGAGCTGTGGAATTTGGGATAGAAATAGTGCTGACTGGAGATGCAGAGCTCTTTGGGAGCTCCAAATCTTCAGTGTCTTCCATTCAGAAGGACTTGTGGTTTGGGGTTGTTTTATTCCTTTCATTGCCCTGACGGTGGTGGGAACAGAGGAGCTGGGATGGGAAGAAGGGGGGACATCTCTCCTTCCCACCCCCCAGACAGAGCCTGAGTGTTAAGAAACGTCTTAAAACCTTCTCAAGTAAGTGAAATTTGGCTGGGAAAATGCTGGCACGGCTTGCTTGTTTTTCTGTTCCAGTAGATAACTTTTTCCTATTGAGAGCTGAAATTTTGGCATTTTCCAGAACTTGGTTTGGTTCCACAAACATCTGGCCTGGTGCAGGAGGAGAGGAGGGTGGGATGATGGCCTGAACATGTGATCCCTTCCCTGGGGTGTCCCAGTCCTTGCCCTTACGGACGGTGTGTTTTGGCCTTCACACGCAGGTGCTGAATTCTCCCAGGTGGTGCAGTTTGGAGAGGGCCAGGCTGGGAGGGAAACAGTACCTGTGGGAGGGCTCTGCAATGGCCAGTGGGATCGTTGCACAGGGAGAGAACGTGGGCATGGAGGGAGAGGACAAGGGGGACGGCTTTAAACTGAGACAGAGCAGGATTAGGTTGGATGTTGGGAAGAAGTTCTTTGCTATGAGGTGGGACGGGGCTTGGAGCAGCCTGGTCTGGTGGAAGGTGTCCCTGCCCGTGTTGGAGCAAGATGGTCTTCAAGGTCCCTTCCAACCTCAAACCACAACCCTTCTGTGGTCCTGTGATGATCCTGAGAAAACCCTGACGTGTTTAGGGGAAAGAAAGCCGAGCCTTTGGAAGACTTCACTGCATCTGGAGCAGGGAGGGTGCCTCACAGCTCCAGCTCAGCTCTGCAGATTCCCCAGGCTCGATGCTGGACAGGTCACCGCAGAGGTTCCAGGGGCAGAGGTTCCTCCCTCCTGTAGCCACTTCCTAAGGTGGATTTTCCATCCCAGCGTGCCTCAGCAGATGTGTGACAGCATTTATGGCCTTGCAATCTGCCTCCCCAAACAAACCCAAGGGCGGAATCGGGAGGCTGGAATAAGGATGTGGAAAGCCTCTCCACAGGTCCCACTGTGAGCTCTGCCTGACCTTTGGTTGTGAAGGGATGGCAGGGAATTTTTTCCTTTCTGAGTCACTCATTCCCAGCCAAGATCAGCTGGAAGTTACCGAAAGCTTTTCCGTTTGCCTTCTGGTCAAGGGGCCGGAGCGGGACGGTGGGAGCGGGGCAGGATCGGTGCCTTGGCAGGGCCAGCGGCTCCTGAGGCGGGGTGAGCTCAGTGGAGGAGGGAAGGACGTGGTGGGGAATGTGGTTGTGTGTGTGTGCTCCGTCCCAGCCTGGAGCAGGGCTCTTCCCAGCTCCGGCTGTTTTATGGCTACACCCGGAAACTCCTCGGTGCTGCTGACGCACGCGGGCAGGAGCTCACGCAGGACACCCCAGCGGGGTGAGAGCCCAGCTGAGCCTCCTGGGCCTGCAGTCCTGACCTGCAGACGTGCAGTCCTACTCCCAGTTTGCCTGTCATCTCATGTGCCTCGGCAGGGAGGGAGTTTTCCCGTGGGAGTTTGCAGGGAAGCAGCGAGGGGGACAGGAGCTTTGTAAGGATGTTCCCTCTGAGGTGATCCTGAAATTGTTCCCTTTCTGTGGACACGGTGATTTACTGCTTGGAGCGAGGGTGGTAACACGTCAGAGGGGTTGGCCTCTTGTTCAGAGGTGAAGCTCTCTGGCCATTCCTTTGGTTCCAGAGGGTAAGAGTCCTCCAGGGAATCTTCCGTCAGCTTTTGCTGCGCTGTAAAGAATTGTAATTTTCTCTCCGAAGGTGTCTCTACAGTTGCCATGTGGATCCTGAAGGGAGAAACTGCTCTTTGCTTCCATGTGGAGCCACCTGCCCTTGGAATGGCCTGCAGGATATTCCTGGAAGTGTCCAAGGACAGGTTGGATGGGGCTTGGAGCAACCTGTTCTAGTGGAGGGTGTCCCTGCCCATGGCAGGGGGTGGAATGGGATGAGCTTTAGGGTCCTTTCCAACCCATTCCATGGTTCTGTGACAGCTCATTGGGCCCAAATCCCATCATCTTTTACTTGCTCTTGGCATAGCCCTGACAGCGCCTGGAGCTTCTCTTTGGTGGCCTCTCCGTGTTAATTCCTACTCAACAGGAAAAAATGGGCATGTTCCAGTCCTGCTGAGGGGGTTGGTGTTATCTACTGATCCCCTGGAGCTGTGCTGGGTTCACCGTCCCCAAGGCCAGGGACACCTTGATTCCTGCCAAGCATTCCCTTCCCTTGGGCTCTGGGAGGGCAAACTTACATCTCACCCCCCTGTATCCCATCTCCATCTTCCAGGGTGTGTCTGCTCCCTCGGTGGGTCCCACTCCCGTTCCAGGGTGTGTCTGCTCCCTCTGTGGGTCCCACTCCCGTTCCAGGGTGTGTGCTCCCTCTGTGGGTCCCACTCCCGTTCCTGGGTGTGTCTGCTCCCTCGGTGGGTCCCATCTCCCATTCCAGGGTGTGTCTGCTCCCTCGGTGGGTCCCACTCCCGTTCCAGGGTGTGTGCTCCCTCTGTGGGTCCCACTCCCGTTCCAGGGTGTGTCTGCTCCCTCGGTGGGACTCCCTCTGCTCATTTCCGTGCCTCTCCTCCTCGAGGCACCTGTTCCTCACAGCCTGCACCGTTTCC